TCCTCGCTCTTTCTCTAATGGTTGGTGGCTTGAAGATCATGTGTTGCTTTGTTGGATCACTTACTTTCTTTTCCCCTCCTATGGACTCTATGATTTATGATTTGAGTGTATTGCCTCATTCAAGCTTGGGGGAGGGTATTCTATCATGCTTGGGTAGAATGTTGGTCCATTTTTGCCATGAACTTGAGTATATGCATTTCCATGTGTTTTCTTATATTTTGAAATATTCCAAAAAGATTTTTGTTTCTATCAAGGCAAATTTGCAATGTGTTTTGTTTTGTTCTTGATTTGGACATAATACTTTTGGATTTGTGTTCTTGAATGCTTTTCTTCCTAAATAGTAGTGGTTTGCACGCTTTGAGATATCTTGGGTTGATTTTAGGATAGAGTATGCTTGAAGCCCTAGTCTACTTGTTTGTGGTAAGAAGGAGTTGCTTCTTATAGTGAATTTGAAGCCAATAATGAGTTTTTGCTACAACCATGTGAGGTTTCATTTCTCTAGCCTTCTACCTATTTTGCATGAGTGGCACATGGATACTTGACTATCGCTTACTTTATCTAGAACTTGCCTTTTATCTCCCGAGATCGCTACCGAACCATTTAAGAAGGACGAAGGCATCTTTTCGGGGTGGTTATTTTTTCTATTCTAGGTTTCGATTTTATATTTTTGGGTTTACATTTTCCTCCTTGCTAATCATTTGGGCCTTATACCTTCTTTTCTAGCCATATTATTAGACTTCATACCATTTGTTTAGCTTCAAGCTTCTTCTATTGAACTTTCTTGCTTTTTCTCGGGTCATAAGCATCGAAGAAAGCGTTAAGCACCTACACAAATAGGTCAAGAGAGAAAAGAGTGAAAGAACACATAGAATACACGCAAATCAAGCTGGAAAAACCGAGCAAAAAGCATATTATTCACAATTAAGGCCTAAAACCATAAACTAAGACAAAGATGATTAAAACAATACTAAAAGGAATAGAAACAACAAAGCAACACCGAAATAAACCTAAAACTAAGGGAGAAAAACGCCCTAAAATGTGTTATAAATGATACTCATCAAATTCCCCCAAGCTTAACTCTTGCTCGTCCTCGAGCAAGACAAGACCAAATAAAAGAGAAAAGGAGAAGGATTTATTCAAGCAAGACTAGCACACTAAAGGAGATGAGAATGTACACTGACTCACTTTCGTAGGAATTACGACAATTTTAGCAACTATAGACAAGCCCTTTAAACCCCTAGATCGCTCTAGAGAACGAGTGTGCTCTCGTGAGGGTTTCCTAAGAGTTTAACCCACAACTCTTGAAAAAAACCAAGCAAAACAAGGCAAAGCATAAAAAGAAAATCCAAAGAAAAGGAAGGAAAACAAATGTTCATGAATGGACTTTTGCAAATGAACAAGCACAAATGAATACAAGTCTTTCTAAACAATAGAGGAGTGCACGCTTTAAGATATCCAAGCTTGATTGAAACATAAGAAATGCTAAGCATAGAGAACTAATAAGACACGATTCACCTTCATCCCAAACGATCTTACCGCGTTCCCCCTACTAGTTTTAAATTCACCTCTAGTGAGCATCTCAATGATTCCACTAGGGAACCGGAAAAGAAGAGATTTTAGGGCTACTCGACATCTTCACTATGCAAACCGCTCCATAAGCTTGACTCCCATCTCCCTCCATCGACTTGTGACTCAATCGCAAAGGTCAAAAGGTCTTTGAAGGGTTGTAACGTATAGGCAAGAAGGGGAAAGGTAGGCTAAAAATTTGAAAATTGGTGGTATACTTAATCGTGAAGCATAAGAATGGCCAATTCTCAACACCATAACCAAGTTATCACCAAAACTCAAACAAAAATATCAACACCACCAAGCTTATTCAAAGCAAAATCACGAACATATATACAAAAAGCGTAGACACGCTTCCCTAAGCTTAAATGGAGCATTTTCCTCAATGTCCTAAACTAGGGAAATCCTAACTACATCAAAATATATTTGTGCTTTTCATTTTTTTTTCTTTATTGCTTTGTCCTCGCGTCTTTTGACTATGGACTGCTTTTTCAACTTTACATTTGCTTTTATTCACAAACTTATACACAATACATATTTGCTATACAAAATGAGGTCATAACTTCAAACTATTGCACTTATAATCACTAAACAAACTCATTACCACTAGCTTCACAAAAACCAAAGGTGAAAAGAAAGCCTACCAGACTTTTCTACCTTGTTGAGGACTTTTTTCAGCGGTTGATCAATTAACACCACTATTTAATGGGAATCAAAGTAGGGCCTCAACTTCCGAGCGGCTACCACTACTGCGTACACAACTTTTTCAAGTACAGGGTAGCGTGTCTCGGCATCTGTGAAAGTGTGGCTGACAAAATAGATCGGCTACTGAACTTTTTATTCTTCCCTTAGCAACACCGCGCTTATAGTGGCTGGACTGACCGTCACATATAAGTACAAGGTTTCTCCTTCAACTGGTCTTGCTAGTGTTGGGAGGTGAGCCAGGTGCTCACGGAGCTGCTTAAAGGCCTCTTTTTGCTCGTCTTCCTAGATGAGCTCTTGTAATTCTGGGAGTTTAAACGCTTTGAAGAAGGGTAACCCCTTGTCCGAGGCTCTAGAGATGAACCTAGAAAGGGCAGCCATTCTGCTAGTGATCGAGACGCTAAACGTCCCTCTTTGTTTTCGGCTCGGGAAGATCTAGAGCTACTTAAACTTTGGTGGGATTAACATCAATCCCCTTTTCGCTGACCATGAAGCCGAGGAACTTGCCTGAATTCACGCCGAAGACACACTTCTTCGGATTCAGCTTCATTTTATGCTTTCTAAAGGTAGGGAAGGTTTCAGCCAGGTCCATGACATGGTCTGTGTCATCTTTGCTTTTAACGATAGAATCGTCAACATAGGCTTCCATGTTACGACCCTTTTGCTCAGCGAATACCTGATCAACCAGCCTTTGATAAGTTGCCCCTGCATTTTTCAATCTGAAGCATCATTTTATAGTTGTACACCCCGACGCTTGTAACGAAGGCCGTTTTTGCGCGATCGTCGGGGTATTTTCACCGTCGGCACATGCTCTTCCAATATCCAACTTTGGAAGGGCGAACTTGTAGGCACCATTACGGCCATCACTTTTTGTTTGGGCAAAGGGACCTCGCTTCTCCCTCTTAGAGAGGTGGAAGTGGTTTTCGTCCCTGGCCGAGACAATTCGGGGTACGGCCTGGTTCCATCTGGGAAGGTGAGACGACTACGCACGCCTACCTCCCTCGAGCCTAAGCGCTCATGGACACTTTGGCGAGCAGGCTCTTTCCACGCAGAGGTGGTATTGCTGCTCCGGAAGCTTATGGAGTCCCGGGTCTCAGAACGGTGAAAGAAATGAGGATTCTTTTTCCTTTCCTGCTCGGTCCTCCAAGTGTCCTTTTGCCACTTTTCCCTAAGCTCCTTGTAGGATGGAACTTGTCCATCCTCCAGGCCACTTGACCGATTCTCCTTCTCAGGTGTCTGGGCTGAAGAGGTGAAGACTCGTGGGGCGTTAATGGGAGTTGTCCTCCTTGGGCTTTTAGGAACTCCATATAGACCGCTACGACCCTTGCCACTTCCTCCGTAAAGGGCCCCGATAGGGGGGTTTCCTTAGGCTGGGACCAAGAGTGCAGACTCTGCGGTGGAGGACTCTTCGCATTGGACCTACTCGGCCCAGACGAACTTGTCGGCTGGTAAGTATGGTGGGATGGAGAGTCCCCCACAGCTTCCCTTTCCAGAGAATGGGGAGCTTTTGAAGAAGAAGAAGCTGGTTCTGGTGATGGTGAAATTGGTCGATGTTCCCTCACCGTAATCAGGTCTTTGTCCCTCTTTGAATAGGTGGGACCATTCTTCTTAGCACTCTTGGTGCTCTTCCCACTCTTAGTCATGTTTTCGCTAAGAGTGATTGATTTTTGGCTTGATTTTTTGTATTATCCCCACAGACGGCGCCAAATTATTTCGGATGAATATAATAGGACCTTCAGCAGGCCCTTTTCAAGGGAGAAGACTGGTCTCGGTCCAAGTGATGACCAGGCCGAGGGTTTCCTGCACAGCGAACACACGTAAACTAGCCTCGGGCGTGGTTGCCGAGGAAGGCCCCTCTGATGCTAAAATCAGCTCAGTGGATTGAGAGTAAAGGCTATGAAAGAGAATTAATCGCTTGAGGCTGATTGTGAATGAATGTAAGAGGAGACAATTGATGGTTTTTATACCTTTTCTCAATAGAGTAGAATTGGGCCCTTGAAGTCAGATGGGTTTGTCATCCGGACTGGGCTTGTTGACTTAACATGCTTTTGGAGAGTTGAACCTTGTGCTAGGCTTTTGTAATTAAATCATTTGGGCCGGTCCAATTAGGTAAATCGAATTGGACCCAAACAATTTGTATTTTAGCTTCCTTGACATACAATAAGTTAGAGTTATTGAGTATACTCTTAAAGTTACTTTGTCATTATTTAGGATAATTAATTGATACTGAGCTTTACCTAATTAACATGCTAATGGATTATATTGGTTTAAGGATAAAAATTCAATGGGTTAGGAAATGGTTACAGGTTGGGATAAATGTTTATTCTTTTACATGTTCTTCTATTCTCACTAATCAATTCAAGCAACTCATACAATCCAATCATCGAACATTAATTTTGGGAGACATGATTTGGCTTGGTGTCTAAAGCGCCATGATCTAGCTACCTTTCTTACCTATTGCAAACATCAATACCTCCTACGAAAATTACCCATATGTGGCCACCCCACTAACAAAAACACCCTAGCTTCCTCCTCCCTTTTTCTCATACGTCTTTCTCTCTCCTCCTTACAACAGTGAACGCCGATGGTGGCAGGATGATGGAAATAAAGGTTGAGAAGGAAAGGGGAAAACCGAAGCTTTTGATGTAGCACGTGCTGACAATCAATGTTAGAAAGTGACAGTCAACGTCGAAAAATGGTAGTCAACGGCCGATTCATAGCAAAAGCCTTAGTCAACAACAAAATAATGCATTTAAAGTCCCAAAGTGCCACAATCTTTATTAAGTCAATTCTCACAAAAAGTATCAACATATAACAAACTAAATTGCTCGTAATTTACACATGCTTTGATGACTCCAAAAAAATTGGAATATATAGACCATCCATGAACCAACCTTATCTTTTAAGGTTGCTTTCCTAGAGTTGGTTATAGGTCATATTGCTATTATGTTGCTGAATATACATGATATATGCTGCCTTGAATGTGAAAACTTAGAGTGGGACTGTTGCTGTGACAGTCCTATGTCTGGGATCTGTAAGAATCGTATGAACATGAATAAATCCAGCTTCCCTCAAGGCAGATTCCAAATCAAGCAGGTAATATTCATCAAGAAACGGTTCCGTGCTCTTCATTAATGTAAATAGTACTGGAGACAGTTCCTGAAATAAAACCAACAAGCCGTTAAGTTTAGACTGCAGTGATAACAATGACTACTAGATAATGCTTAGCTGCACGCCTGCACCAGAGCCCTTTTCTATTAGATACCGGAAGGAATTGAGAATTTTAGATGTATTCGACTTGCATTCTTCACTCATGATAATGAAAATTAATACTACTTTCCAATTCAGATACTGATAACTTGCATGAATGAAGAAAAGTATATGAAGTATAATTTTATGCCACTGAACTACTTCCCAATTGGATTATCATTTGTAATATACTACGTAGTATAATTGTTTGCTCCAATTTTTTTTTTTGGAGTTAATGTTCACTAACTTCGACTGTGATTTCATATTGATTTACAAGAATTAACTTAGTTATGTGAGATCTTGTTAAATTGGTTCAAATATGTAGATTCACACTAACTTTATGAATATTTTTCTAATACACAATTAAAGATATTGATGGTCAAACCGAGTAAAAGCACATGATGCAAACAATAAGGGAAGGGGGGAAAATCAACAGCATCTATTTCTAACAAATGCAAAAAATTCAGATTATGAAGTAGCAACTAGATGTCACCGCAGCAACAGGATCCTGAGTATCATGCATTCATGCTGAGTGCTCATGTGAAGTAAGTAAGACAAAAGGTTTTCCAATTCAGCTAAATCTACAGAAACTAAAATTACACAACATTTACTCATAATTCCCAAAACAAAAGATGGGGGTGGTCTCCAATTATCTTGCATGACATACTCCTTACATGATATCATTAACTTGCATACACATTACACAATAATGAAAATATACAAAGAAAACTACATCAGCTTAAGTACAGATAATTGGGTTTTTAACGAGGATAAATTTCAACTAAAATAGGGAATGTTAGAAGGATGAGGAAGCAAATATTACGGCTCCCTATGAATCCAAAGCTCCGTAATGGTTCATTGCATTTGCATAGTTGTCTTAATCCAAAGATATTATAAGGACATTTTTGAAAAGAAATATTATCAAAAGGAAGTTACAGCAATAGGCATAAGATATGCCTTAATATTCTTAAGAAAATAAATAATTAAACATATATGAAGTATTACCTTAAAACACCTCACTTGTCCTAGACTCCTAGGTCGGTCTCATTCAATAAATACCACAATATAACACCAGCAACAATTATTATATATCAAAGCTCAAAGTAAATTGTAAACACACCGAATGCACAAACTAGATGCAGGTTAGAAGTTTTACCTGAAGTTTCTTGGACTTGGGCTGCAGATGAGCAAAAAAATAAATGTTAGTATATCAAAGCAATAGCAGTGGGCAAAAAGTTGATAAGAGATTAATGTGTAACTTACTGAATTATCTGTGATAGCAATGGTGCCCCCTGGTCTAAGAAGCCTGAATGCTTCCTTCACCAAATTAACTGTCGCTTTTGCTGGACATTCATGAAGCTGGATGTGTGAGCAGAAAATTAGTGAATACTCACTTAACTAAAAAAAAAAAAATATTTCTAAGTTCTTGAAGACTTCAATGAACATGTATATGGACAACATTTTTCATGATGCAACTTTATTCAACCAGAGATCCAACAAACCACAGTATTTGGTTAGCTTTGCTGGAGTCTTAAATTACCGAGTTACAGACTTTCATGCCATACTAGTTTTTCAGTGTTCAATTATTAATGTTATACGACACTACACTCCTTTATAGCTGATGACTGTGAAGCCTGCTGCTAGTAATGCGTCTCTCACATTTATATCTTATTGTTGACTTAATTTATGACTACCTACTCAGATACAAAGCACAGCCTAAATATAGGATGAGAAAATCAGCAAAAAGTAACATGAGACTGCATACACTACACATAGTTGAATTGTTAATTTCGGTAATCTTTGCTTGCACTAATCAAAAGAAAGCAATGGGAAGAGAGGTTTATATAGAGATCAAAGGCATCAGTCACAGACTCTTACTAAAACAGATTCACATGGATTAGAGTAAGAAGTTTAGGTGACACATACAACATAAGCAATTGAGACAATGTCAAATGACTTGGCCGGCAAACCCGTGTCTTCACCATTTGCATGAACCCACTTTATGCATTTTCCACTTGATGATCCATTTTTCTCTTTGTATTGAGCAACAGCCAAAAAATAAGGTGACAAGTCCAACCCCTGCAACAGTCAATTGTCAACTATCTTCCTACTATAAAAAGCTTGATGAAAAAACATTTTACATGATCTACATTGCATAAGAACAAAATCTTACAGTGACATTAGCAGAAGGAAATTTGTTGGCCAGAAATCTTGTGCTCCAACCTACAGAGCATCCTATGTCTAAGATGTCCGCAACTACAGAATTACCAGAGTATTCTAGATGATGTTGCTCAATTACTCGAAGCCAATTCCCACGTACTACTTCAATTGCTTCATCCAGGGAAGCAGCATCAGGTATAGCTCTTCTAGTAATTGACATGGTGGCAGGCTCTGCTTCTGCTGCAGCCTACATTCACAAATGCAATCAGTAACAAATTGCACTCTTGGACCATTTCACATTTGAACAAAGATTTTATATAAGTTTGGATGCTTAAAAGGTTAGAATGTTTGAAAAATCCATTATCCCAGGGATAACATTTGTTCCCATGAAAAGTTCCTTAATAAGTTTTCGGCAGTTTGTATCCTAGAAGCAAAGAACATCAGTTTGCAAGCTTGAGCCATTGAAATTTATGTCTCCCATGTTGTGCAGCTTGTGCCATTGAAAATTATGTCTCCCATGTTGTGCAGCTTGTGCCTCACTGCCTACATTTGATTTCTTAAGATAGTTGACGAATCTAGTCTATTTCCATGGTATCTAGTGCCATTGAAATTTCTTGGCTAAACCGATAATAATCATTATAAGGCTTGTTTGAATACAACCCACAAATTAGCCAATGCTTATCAGTGATCTTAGTGCGGTTAATAGTAGGCTTTCACACATCTAACCCTTTTATAATCACGACCAACACATTCTACACAACAAATAAAAGCACCATAATAATATAGCAGAAGTCTAATATATAACTACAAAAATACCAACAAGAATTAGCAAATTACCAGCCATGAAAGGTTTCCTTCATCATAAGCATGGAAAGGATTTAGATAATCTGCAATGACAACACAATGGTCCAACATTATCATCCTAAATTTTTCAAAAGCCGAACAAATCAATATTTTTTCCTAACTAAATCACTCATCATTAAAGGATTACAACATCATGATTTCTATCTTGCTTACCAATTCTAAACTTAATACTAATACTACAACAGCAAAGCATATAAGCTCATTGTTTAAACCAATTCTAAACTTTATTCGAATACAAAATGACCACATTATAAGCCTTGCAATTAGATACAAGAGAGAAGAGAAATTACAATCTGGGTATACAATGTTCGGGTTTTGAACGCTCTCCATCTCCTTGTAGACCTCCGATTCCAATATCTCATTAGTCATCTCCCTCCATGGTATATCTGTTTTCTCAGCTGTACTGTTTCAAATCCCACAACTTCAACAGAATGGCCAATGTTTATGTTTATCTAAACTATATGCAGACAGTAAGCAAAACATCTAATTAACAGGAGAAATTAAGACCATTTCACAAAACCCAATGTAGACAAATCAAAGCAACAATTCAGCTGCCCACTAACTTAGCTGTTTAAAGTCTCGAGGAATTACCCAAGACCTGGAATCAAATCTCATTTACATCACTGCCCTTTTGTTACTCTTTCTGCACTGAAAGCAAACCAATTTCTACATATTTAAGCAAAACAATAAAAACCCACATATTCAAATTTCTGTCATACTGTACTACAACAATTCAGAATCAATTATTTTTCTGCAAACTCAAAAACTTATCTTAAAAAAACCCCAAATAAATTCAAAATTGAAGGGAAAATAGAAAGAAAAAGGGTAGACCTGATAAGGGCTTGTCTAGCACCAAATTTCATGACAGAATAAAGAGGTTTGAAGGAAATAAGAGCACCAACAAGACGAGAAAGAGGAGTTTGGCCAGTCCATTTGGGTCTTTCGAGGTTACCCTCTTCGTATGACTCCATTGTTGAGGCCATCATGTGAATTGTGAGTGAACGATGAGCTTCTCTTTTTGATGTTTTGTGGTTTTTGATTGAGCTGCCATTGCAATTGAGGAATGTTGAGGTCAGAGTTTTGGAATACAATGCCATTGATGATGCAGACAGTGAGGTCTGTGAGGGGGAGAATGAAGAAAGGATTGTCCTTGTCTTGATGGATAACGTTTAAACTTTTTTTTTTTTTAATTAAAAAAAATTAATTCCATGGTTTGTTTTTTTTTCTAAATGTTAATGGAAAAATACCGAAATTCTTATATATGGTTGGCCCCACAATATTAATAGAGGTTACTTTGTTAGTGTTATAGGGATTTGTTAGCTATGATGCACGGACACGCCTGCCAAGTGGCGTGTCCGAGTCGACACGCGTGTCGGACACGGACACGCGTGGGACACGGGGGGATACGTCTTGGACACGCGAAAATCCGTGTCCGTTTTTTTTTTTGAATTTCTTCTGTACGGACACGGGCCGTGTCTCACCCAGACACGGTCCGTTTTGTGATGGACACGCAATTACGGCTTTACAAGCCCAACTTCCTCCATTCTCTCTGACTCTCTCACATTCTCAATTCCTCCATTCACAATTCACAAACCTACTGCCTTACTCAAGCTCCCTGAGTCCCAGACCGTCAGCCACTCACCGTCGCGCCGATAACCGCCGTCGCTTCACCTGCTGCTGCTGGTCCAGACCGTCACTCAGTTCACCGTCGCTTCGTCGCCTACAGCCTACTCTCACAGAGACACAGACTTCACTCGCCGCTCGTTGTTCGTCCTCAGCCACCACCCCAGTGTCGCCAGCCACCAGTCCACCAGACCACCACCAGGTAACTCGCTCAACCTAGGTTTCAGGCCGTGGCTTGACTGGCTTCTGTACTTTGTTTTTTTTTTAAATTCAATTAATTCAGTCGCTAACTCGCTCAACCTAGGTTTCAGGCTGTCGTTGTTCGTCCTCAGCCACCAGTCCACCACCCAGTACCGTCCGTCGCCACTCGCCAGCCACCAGTCCACCACCAGGTAAGGGTTATGTGACTTCTGTCTTCTGTACTTTGTTTTCTGAGATTCAATTGCTGAATGCTGATGTTAATTGTGAGGTGGAGCCGTGGAGGCAGTATCACTGTAATTCGCAATTGTTAATTGTTAAATGTGATGTTAATTGTTAATTGTGATGTTAATTGTGAGATGGGTTCAGCTGTCAAATCAGAGGGGATCTTTCTCAACATTGATTGCATGCATGATATGGCTTTGATGGATGCTAAAAATTGGTGGGCAACTTATGGTTCCCAAGTGCCTATGCTTCAAGGTTTGGCTTATAAGCTATTAGGTCAACCTTCTTCCTCTTCTTGTAGTGAAAGGAATTGGAGCACCTATAAGTTTATTCATTCTTGCACTAGAAATAAGCTTACTCCTAAACGTGCTCAAGACTTGGTATACATTCATAACAACCTTCGATTACTTTCTAGGAGAAGTGAAGAATACACTAAGGGGAGATCTAAGTTGTGGGATGTGGGTGGAGATGAGCATGACAACCTAGGAGAGGTTGGTATTCTAGAGATGGTCGAGCTCTCACTTGATGAACCCGAGATGGAGAATATGATTTTTGATGATGTACTTGGTGATGGTGAAGAATGAAACTATTAGTACTTTTGTTTATTTTATTTATGATTTGTAAAACTATTATTAAGACATGTATTTGGTTTGATGGTTTCTTGATATGTATGAGACTACGTTCGTACACTTTGTTTATTTACTTGTTTTAACAAAATTGTGTGTTTTGAGGCTAATTATTTAGTGTTTTATTAAATAGGTTATCAAATTCTCGTTTTTTTGATATATTATATGCCTTGTTATATGCCGTACCCGTGTCCCCTATTTCAGGATTGCCGTTTTCCCGTGTCCGTATCGTGTCCGTGTCCGTGTCGGTATCCGTGCAACATAGTTTGTTAGTGCTACAAGGATTAAGTCCAGTTCTTTTTGACTTCTGGACAAGCATAGCAGAGCAGATTTAAGTAGAACAAAGCAGATTTCTGCAGAGCAACTTGAAAGAACGGGTTATTACTTGGTGTGTTACAAGGGTTAATTCATTAATGTTATAGAGGTTACCTGGTAAGTATTAAAAGAGTTACTCGTTCAGTGTTATAAGAGTTACTTTGTCATTGTTACAGGAGTTACTTCATCAATGTATAGAGGTTACTCGTTAAATATTAAAAGGGTTATTCGGTCAGTGTTATAGGGGTTTACTTTGTTCTTTTACAAACCGCCACACACAAGACGGGCTAAATATACAAGAAATTATGATAGTTTTCTCTTTCTCTCAAGATTATATTCTAAGTTATCCAAATGTATAAAAAATAATAATAATAATAATAATAATAATAATTACCTCCTATTATTTTCAAAAACTTTAATTTTGTTTTGTGTACATGTTGATTTACAAATTAACTTTTAGTCAATTTATGGTAATTTTTTGACTTTTTTGAGTAACTTTATACTTGACACGCTTTTAATATAAATAGGCAACCTTGTTGCAAGGGGATATAGGTGGGAATGTGGAATATGTACATCTTTATTCCTTTTCACAAATTATTCTAACTTTGGCGGAAACGGATGTTTCCTCTTAATGAAATACTACGCAAGTACTTAATGACTTAATGTATAGTGTAATAAGAAAACGAACGAGGAAATTGTAACAATTTCATAATGAGTACATATGACAAATTGAAAATCATAAAAATTAATTTTGGATTAATTACTACTCGTATCATTAATCTTAGCTTCATATTTCAGGAAATTAAATCATAGCTTCAACATAACTATCACGAACGATTAATCGGAATAGCACGTAGTGATTTGGCCTTCTTTATTGTAATTCCACATAGATCATCCATGTCCAAAACCCGTTGCATATCATCTAAATCTTCAAGTTCCCAATTAAACGAGTGAATCAAATTACCTAATACCAAAGAAATCATACGAATGGCCAATGGCATCCCCGGGCAAATTTTCTTTCCTCCACCAAATGTAAAGAGTTGGCTAAATTGGCTCTTAACCTCAGTCTCCGACCCCAAGAATCTCTCTGGAATGAATGAATTCGGGTTAGACCAAGTATGTTGATCGCGATTAATAGCCCATGCATTAACTATAAGCATTGAATCCTTAGGGATTTGAAAGCCGACAAATTCTACATCCTTTTCTGCTTTGCGAGGGAGTAACAATGGAGCTGCTGGATGAAGTCTAAGGGTTTCTTAAACTATTGCTTGTAGGTATGGAAGTTCAAAGATATGTGATTCCAAGATATATTCCATATTGCATTTTACCATCAATCCATCTAATTCTTCTTGCAACTTGCTTAGAGCCATAGGATTTCTAAGTAGCTCTGTTATTGCCCACTCCATTGTTTTTGAGGTTGTGTCCATTCCAGAACCAAGAAAATCCTAAAGTTTATATCAAGAGATAAACAAAGTTTCAATTGGTTGTTTTTGAGGTTGTGTCCATTCCAGAACCAAGAAGATCCTAAAGTTTATATCAAGAGATAAACAAAGTTTCAATTGGTGAGACATAAAATAATTATTACATGCATGTTATATAAAATTGTACTCCGTATTACTTTATTGACAATCCATCGAATTACTTCCTATGTTTTTTTAGTTGACATGCACTTTAACTTTTGATACTATTCAAAAGCCCTACTTTAACTTGCTTTGTGATTTATAATTATAACAAAATATACTTTTTCGTTTTTTTTGATGCATCACTTTTGAAATCATGGAGTCCTAGACAATTTTGGAGTAAAGAGAGAAACAGAGAAAAAAGGGGGGGGGGGGGTTGGATAGGGGCTAATGTGATATGAGAGAGATAAAGAGAATTTATTAGCTAAAAAAAAGTGATACATCTAATTTGAAACTTCTATTTATAGTAAGTGATGCATCTCAAAAAATAGAGGAAGTACTTCATATATATATATATATATATATATATATATATATATATATATATATATATATATATATATATATATATAAACCCACTTCATATATAGTTATGTGGTGTTTGGGGTAAAAATACCCAAGGCCACGTGGCCCAATAAAATGGTGACACATGTCACCTTAAGAGAGGTTCAAAATGAACCAATCCTCTGCTGACACGTGGCATCCCTAATCATTGGGGAAAAGGCGGCCCTCAAGGCCCAATTCCCGGGATAACCCACCATTCCTAGGTTTCCGAAACCTAGGATGGTGGCACGCATCCCAAGATCATATAAATAGGGAGATATTCCCACCTGGGAAAAGCATTCACAAACATTCACTCAAAACAGAGCAATTATTAATTGTAGATATTCTCCGCTGAGGGAGCGCTCTTGATCTCTGAATCTGAGAAGATACTTTATTTTCTGCACTTTTTCACTTCGTCCATACACGTTCTAACTTGATCGTCGGAGGCAGAACTCCACCCAACCGGAGTCTCTGTGGTTTTGCAGGTACAGGCGCCCAGAATCCAGTCTTGGTGTTGTAACTCTCCCGAGGGACACTGAAAACCCCGAAACATGTGGCATGGAGTATTTTGTTGTAATCGTCTCAATATATTTTTTCACATAATATTAACTTTTTATAATTATTATTTATTGATTATTAGAGATGCTAATCGTTAAACTTGTACATTAGGAAAACCCGATAAAGAAACGTGACAAACAAATAAGAACCACTGAAGTATACATATTCAGACTAGAGGTGATCAACTATGATCCGGCCTGAAAACCCAAATCCAAACAAATGAAGTCAGAAACAGCCCACTTTGACAAGCTCATCACTTTGTTGCGGGTTTTGGCATGACATTTGATGTTAAGGTCTGCCCCGAATTTTTTATCACCTCTAATTTGGACAATCTTAATTATTTGGAAAGTTGAATATGGAATTTGTTGGTTATCTCTCCTTTTCTTAAAATAAAAAAATAAAAGCCCCCACCTTATGAAAATTCTACCTACAGTAGTCATTTGAAAATTGATTACCAAAATTTTAAAATTTGGACGATTGTGATTTAATAATTTTTGAATTATTTTTATATTCTAAAATAAGTTAAAAATAATTTTTCTTATTTGGAAATTCATTTTAAATATTTGAAAATTAATTATTTTAATATTTGAATAAATTTCAAATTAATTTATAAAATTCAGTTTTCTGTATTTAGAATTATACAGGTTTTTGAAGAAATTATGAATAGTTGAATTATTTTTTATGAAATTCAGTTTTTATTATTAATTAA